CTGTGCCCTAACCTAAGGTGGGTGGGGGTGGGCACTGGCGAAACGCTTGTATGAACACAGTGGGGAGTCAAAGCACGGTCTTCCCCGGAATCACACCCAGGGGCCTCCAGCCCTGCAGGTTAATCCACAGACTGAGAGAAGCAAGCCCTGGAAGAGCAGCCCGAGGGATGCGTGGAGTCAAAGCACGGTCTTCACCGGAATCACACCCAGGGGCCTCCAGCCCTGCAGGTTAATCCACAGACTGAGAGAAGCAAGCCCTGGAAGAGCAGCCCGAGGGATGCGTGGCCCAGCAGTTCCCACACCTCCGCTCCCGAAAATGGGCTCAAAGGTCAGGTCCCGGGGAGCCCTGAGGACCGCCCACCTCGACAGTGCTGCCCGCACAGCCCAGGGCACCGGGACCACCCCCCCAGCCCCGGGACACAAAGTGGCAGCAGCGCCCACCACAGGACGAGTCTCAGGGAGCCATCCCGAGTTCTCACTTCTCCCACGAGGGCGGCTTTAATGTTTCTTTTGAAATACCAAACACTGACCACCTCCTGATCAGATACCCCGCACACCTCCTGGGTGACTCGCACAGCCTGTCACTCTCAGGAACTGTCCCCTGCGCTTGCCATTCCTGCCTCTCCCACCCGAAGTCAGGCTCCCCGGATACAGCACAGCTCCCGGTGGGATGAGCAGGCAGGTGCCCCTCTGTCCCCCGTCCAGTGGGCTCTGGTCTTCGCCCTGGAGTTGAGAATCCCAGCAGAGGCTCGCACACGGAGCGGGAGGCCTTCACCAGGAGACGTTGGCTGCTCCGGCCCTGCTCGTGCCCGCCGGGTGAGCCTCCCGCCACCAAGGCTGTGAGCAGGGCCCTGTGTCTGTCCCTGTCCCTGTCAGCCCCTAACGGGTCTGTCTCCTTACAAGGCCTCGGTCGACCCTGAGGGGCGGCTGGGTCCCTGCTCTCGATCTTGAGTGACGGCACAGAGTACCAGGGCCCAGGGTCTCCCTCAGGGTGGGCTGGGCAGAGGGGCGAGCACGAGGGGCTCTGTCTGCCTGGCCTCACACTCTGCAGCCTGCGTTCCAGCCTCACTCAGGAGGAGAGGGAACGAGGGAGGGGGAGGCCTGACCCTGCGTCCAGGGAACCTGCAGGGCTAGATGACTACTGGAATTAGCATCAGAACGCCTTGATGGAAGGAAGAAGGGAAGAGTTGAAACCCTGAATGAAAATAGATCATTCATCGTCAGGCTGAACAATGGAACGAGACATAAATAGCAGCTGCAACAGCCTGCACAGAACAGGCCAATTGTGCTCAAAACGAAGCACACGGTGCTCACAGCCCTGCGGACAGCTCGGCACCACAGCCAAGCTCTGCTCTGAGCAGAGGAGAGAATCACAGTGAGCTGCACGTGCACTCCAAGGTCAGGATCTGAGCTGGAACTCAGTTCTGTGTTGACAACTGCGTGTGGAAATAGACTGACAGAGACACAGGACACGAGGACGGAGGAGGGCCAGGCCCGTGCCAGCCTCGGGCAAGCGACGCAGCCTCTTAGCGCTGTGCTCTGCTAGGGAGCCACCGACCAAAGCCACCGTGCTGGCCAGGCACAGTAATAACCACTTGCATGAGTTCTCTAACGACAGGAGATCATGACGGGAACTCGGAACGAACACGCTACCACCGGCTGAAAGGATTTGGGAGGGATCGAAGGAGGAAGGCGCCGCCAGCCCAGAATAAGCTCTGCCAACCTCCCAGAAACCCTCACGCTGGAATCCATCTTGGCTGAGATGTGTGTGCCACCAGATGTGTGTCTGGCCCTGACGCAGACCAAATACAGGCCGAGAAAGATGACCGGCCGAAGACAACCCGGGAACAAACCCGATCACCATGGAACCTGAGACCGCGAGCCGCGTGGCGGGGCAGTCCTCCTGGGTCCCTCACCTGCTGCCCTCCTCCCGGGCGCCCCTTCCCCGTGAAGTCTCCTGCTCCGCCAGCACGTGCGTCTCCTCGGACAGTTCATTTCCGAGTGTTAGACAGGAGCCCACCCTTGGGCCCTGGAAGGGGTCCCCCTTCCTACAACAGCCTCAACATCGGGAAGACAGGCTCCCACCTCTCCCCGGGGACCCTGGCGGGCAGTCATGAAGGTAATGAATCAATCGATGACGTAACTTGCTACTGCCATCGGGGAGAAGCAGGTGTTCCCGAGTGCCAGGCGCCCCTGCCCTCCCAGCCCTGGGGTGGGAGGAGGTGAGGAAGCCAGGAAGGAGGCACATTCACGAGGCCTGAGGCCGCCACCTCTGTCCTCTCCACACTGCACCCCCGAGGCCGGCAGGCCAGAAACCAGGCCCCTCCACATCTCACCCGCACCCCGGGACGAGCGCACGGGAAGCACTACTGTTTTGTCACTAAGCGGGTCCCGTGGCCTCACTGGCCACCTCAAGTGGCCCAAGCACACACACCCACCTCCTGTGCTCTCCAAGAGGGTGTGACGGGCTGGCCTCTGGGCCCGGCTCCCACTCCCAGGACCCGCAGGGGTCTCTGCCACAGTCTCCCCAGCAAGCCCCCTCCCAGGGCCCATGAGCCCTGGACACACAGTGACTCAGGTAACGAGGGTCCCGCTCCCGTTACCTGCAGGCGCCTGTGGGGCTGGGTGCCCTCTCCTTCCACCCGGCAGACCCTCAGGAAGGAGAAACCACTGCTCTCGCCGCGGGGAGGCACAGGGAGGGCCCCGCGCTACGCCCAGGCTCCCTGGGGGTGCTGCGGCGGGAGGGCGGCACTGGAACCCACCTTACCTTGCCGAAGGTCAGACAGTCCTTGTCCTGGTCTCTGTCCTTCATCTCGAAATCATAGAGTGCTTTGCCCTGGGGCGGGGCCTGGGGCAGGGGCCGCACGCCCTGGACGTGGCTGGCGGGCAGGAGGCCGTGGTACCAGCGCTCGTCCACCCGGTGCTGCAAGACCATGACGTCCCCCTCGCTGAGCCTGAGGTCCCCGGGCTCCTTCCCCTCGCAGCTGTGCAGGGCTTTGCTGGGGGACGGCTGGGGAAGGCTCTGGAAGCAGAACACAGCGGTTACTCAGCAGCTGCCCACCCGGCCCGCCTGGCACCTGGTCTGAGGGGCCCCCAAGTCTGAAAGCCCAGGTTGGGGAGATACTTCAAGGGAGCAGCCCCCCACTCCAGGAACACGGGGCCAGGCCCTGCGGGACAGGGGGTCTGCAAAGGGCCCCGCGACAGGCCGCAGGCCTCCACGCAGGCTGCCACACTCCGCACTGGAAGGACGTTGAGGAGGGCGCTGCGAGACCTTCATTCGAGGCACAGAGAGAGGACGGGACCCCTCGCTGGAAGGAGACGGAATCCTCCCCCCCCCCCTTAATTTAAGGAACTTCAGTGGAGATAACAGATTTTATTCTTCAGATCCCTAGGAGGCTCATGTCTTGGGGTTCCCCAGGAACACATGAAGCATGAGTGAAGCTGTAGCTGGGAGGGGAGGGAGGAGGGTGTTTGAAAGTTTGTATGCAGATCCGGGCTCTGGCCCCAGAAAGTTTTACTCACTACTCCGTGCTGACCTGTCATACCCTGGGTGCTATTTCTATCCGACAGATTTCTGACAACTACCATGGCACAGCGTCCCTTCCCTGAACCTCCACGGCAACTCAGAACATGCATCCAGGGGCTTTTCGAGCTGAGGAGACATACTTGCAGGACCGTGCTGCATCCTCCCATGTCACTGCCTCACAGCCAGGGGTCCGGGCTCGAGGTCCACAAGGGACCCCCAGGGCTGGGAGCTCTAACGAGGGGTTCCGGCCATCACGGACCCCCGCCCCCGCCCGCCATGGCTCCCAGCTTCCTGAGGCCACGGCAGCCTCGTCCACAAGCACAATTTCAAGAGCCTGAGACAAGGATTCTCTTCAGGTCAAGGGATGCTCCCACCCTCCTGTCAAAGGTCAGCCAACCCACCCACCTGTCTGACCTGCCATCCGGCCACGAGCAGAGAGCCCTGGGCTCCTTGCTCTTCAGCAACAAGGGGTCCGGGTTTCTCTCCCCCTTCTCTGCAGCAGCCAAGTTCCGCTCAGCTGAGCAGCCTTGCCAAAGGTAAGCTGGCCGCCAGGGAAAGCACACGGAGCCTCACCTCGTCCCTGTGTCCACACCCAATGGCTCCCCAACAGAGGCCGTGTTTCCTCCCCAGGGCTGCCCGGCCAGGGATCCCTCTGGTGCTTGAATCCACCTACACAGAGGCACGAAGCCCGAAGCCGCTGCATACAAGAGGCTCTCCGAGGAGACGCGACAGCGCGCAGACCGGTCTGTGCGCCCATGCCTCCGCAACACCCGGGACGGCAGTGGAGAGAGGACGTGCGGCAGAGGGACACTCGGCCACCACCAGCCAGGGCCACAGCAGCAACAGAGGGCTTTCCTGGAGGAACCCAAGCGGGAAAAGCCACAGCCAGCTCTGTGCTGGGGGCACGACGGGCGAGCTCAGGGAGAGCGATGGCCAGGAGAGAAAGGGAGCCACGCGACTCCACGGCCAGAGGGCAGCGAGCCCTGCCGGCGGCGCTCCATCAGGACACTCGGTCCCCCCACACACACC